GCGTGTGGGGTGCGGCGCTTCAGCGGGGGGAGGAGGTTCCGAGAGGCCGGCGGTGAGGCCCCGGGGCGGGGGTGCTGGCCGCGCGCCTTGCACTCGGGCAGGTGAACACGGGGCACTTGGCGCCTGACCACTCTGAAAGAAGTCGGTATTCAGGAGGCGTTGCCCACGGGCGGGACGCAGGAGTGGGTGGCAGCCAGGAGCCAGCAGGGACACTGGGGTACCTGCAGCCCCCAAGGGAGCCAGGGAGCACCCCCGCCCGGGAGGGATGGCCGGCTTTGGGGGTGTTGGGAAGGGGGCGTGAGCGGACGGGGGTGCAGGGCAGCACGGACAGGGTGGAATGGGGGCGCGGGACACAGGCCCGGGGTCCGGTCTCGCCTAGGTTCCCCCGATTCCCCTCTGCTGGCTGGGCAGCTGCTGCAGGGATACCAGGAGCCCCTTGTGGGCGGCAGAGGGCCCAGGCCGGTGGGTGGGGTGAGTGAGCGAGCGGTGAGTGTGAGGACAGGAGGGGTGACCCGGGCCACCTTGGGGGCCCACCGCGTCCTGCCGGCGGGGCCTGGGTGTCCTGCAGCGGCATCCCAGGGGCCCTGGCCCCGTCCCCCGGGGCCCAGGTGGGCGGCAGCCGGGCTGGAGGGCGCCGGCTTAGGGTGGAACTTATTAAAAACAAGCTCAGGATTAGAGGCGCGCGGCGGGGCCGGCGGGATAAGCCTGCGCAAATGTCAGGGAGCGGCGGCGGGAAATGTCAGCGCGCTCGGGGCTGCCGGCCCAGAGGAGCTGCAGGCAGTGAAGCCAGTGGGGGTGCAGGGGTATGGGGTAGGCAGAGGGTGCTCGGGGTGTGAGTACACGGGGGTGTGGGGGTGCAGGGTGTGTGGGGGGGTGTGGGATGTGCAGGGGTGCGGGGAGTGTGTGGGATGTGGGGGTACACGGGGGTGTGGGGTATGCGTCAGGCGTGCAGGGGGCACAGGGACACACAGGGGGTCGCGGGGCTGGGGGAGGTGTGCTGTCCCCACCCAGGCACCTGGCCAGAGGCCCAGCAGACTTTGTGGGGTCAGAAAGGGGGCTCCTCTGCTGCCCCAGGCTCTAGGACAGAGCCTGGCAAGGGAGCCCCCCCTTTCCACCCAGGCCGGGCTGCCCAGGTGGGAGCTCGGCAGCTCCCAGCAACTCAGCAGCCAGCAGGCCTGCGGAGCCGCTTGTCCCACGCCGGGTGCTGTCCCCAGCGCTGCACCCCCCACCCCCCCACCGCCCCGTGCCCTGGCTCGCTGGCCTGTGGGGTCCACATGCGTCTGGTTCTGCACCCAGAGCTGCCCCCAAGCCAGAGGGGCAGAGTCGTCCAGGGCAGCAGACGAGGAGATCACCTTGGGGTACCCTGGCAGGGTCACAGCTCTGGTGTTGCACCCTAAGTGTCGGTGTCAGGGATATCAGGGCATCCCCAACTCTGGGCACCAGAGCCCCAAGGAGTCCCTGAGTGCCAGGAGGGTGGGGGCTTGGCCTGACCTTGTCCAGGGAGGTGCTGGACCCCCAGAGGAGCCGGGGAGAGCAGAGCCGGGGCCTTGGGGAACCCACACTGGCCTCCAGGTGGGTCTCTGGGAGGCTCCCCACTGGGGTCTGGCCCACATGGAGCAGAGCATGGCCGTCCCCTCCCCTGGTTTGGCCACTATACCTCTGGTAATACAGCCATGTGGTCCCACACATGCCGAGGGGCCCTCACCAGCTCCCCTGTAGAACAGGAAGAGAGGGGGTGGGGGTGAGATGGGGGACAGGGCTGCCCGCGCTGCTGGGAGCCTCGGCTCCCCAAAAGCGGGCACATGGGCGGGACCCGCCTGGAGCGCCAGGCTGAGGGCACTGGCTTTGCAATTAGACGTGACTGCTGCCAAGAACAGCTGCCACCGGCTGCCTCGAGTGACTAATGGGGATGTGGGGCCCTGCTGCTCTCCCGCTAATTGTCAGGCCGAGCCGGCGGGGGGGCGGGGGGGCTGACTCGCTGGCCCTCCCGGGGGTTGGCGGTTCCCAGCGAGGGGCCGAGAGCACCGGCGGGAGGGACAGGGAGCCGGGGCCACCAGCCTGCTCGGCCTCTGAGCCCCGACTGCGCGCCCCAGGGCTGCACACGCGTGTGCCGGGCGCAGTGCACACACGTGCCCACGCTCACAGGGCTCCTGCACACACAGGCCCAGGCGCACACCTGCTCACGCGCACAGACCAGTAAAGCTGCTGGTGGAGCCGAGGGGCCTACTCCTGGGGCGCACAGCAGGGGCCCCAGTTTCTCATCCGGCACCCTGGGTGAGGAGGGGGTGCCGGGGCGTGGCCCACAGGGGCTGCTGTGGGGCCGAGGGGCCGCCTGCCCGGGTGGGGCTGGTTGTCAGGGGTGGTGGAGACCTCTGGTGGCCGAGGCCCCTGTCACCTGTCCCTCAGCTCCTCCCGTCCCCCTGCTCCCCAGGGCCTCCAGCTACCCAGCCGTCCTCTGGAGCCCCAGGGACACACCTTCCCGCCCCTTCCATCCCCGCGGTGGCCCAGCCACGCAGACCCCACTGGAGGGCGAGGACGAGGACCCCACGGTAGAGGGCAAGAGCCTTTCTGGGGGCCCCCAAGGGCTAATCCCTGGTGCCGGCGAAGCCTGGTGCCCCACTGTGCAGCTGGGGACACTGAGTCAGCGGAGACCGCGCCCGGGAGGCGAGGCCCCTGCAGGCAGGCGGTGGGAGGAGAGGCAGGAGGGAGGCCTGCCTGGAGGCGGGGCAGCCCCAGGCTGAGGGTCTGCCCGGCTGTGGCCAGGGGAGGGACCCTGGAGCCCAGGCAGGTGGGGGCTCCCCGGCCGAGGCGCTCCCGCCGGCTGGCTGCGGTGTGACTTCAAAACGCCCCATTATCCCTGAGTGGGTCCCATCGACCGCGACTGCGGCGGGGCTGGTCCGGCGTGTTCTGGGCGGACGCCGCCTCGCCTGCTGCTCCCGCCCGCGGACAGCCTTGTTAGGGCTAATTGCTCTGACATTTCAGCTCCGGCAGGCGAGGGGGGCGGTGGTTCCAGCGGCGAGATTCTTGCTTCTTCCAGCGTGGGGGATGGTGGGCGCCACTCCCCGCCACCCCCAGGGCCCCACGGAAGGGGCCTGCGCCCCCAGGCTGGCCTCTGTCCCTCTGGAACTCGACCTCTGCAGGGTGGGGGGCAGGGGCCAGGCCTGGGGGTGCAGCCTGTGTGCCTGGGCTTCTGCGGGGAGGGGCCTCTCTGGAGACCCTGGCCCTCCAGAGCTGAGGGTGGCAGCCAGGGGGGCTACGTGGGTGTGCACACGAGTGTGTGCATGGGTGCGCCTGTGTCCCAGGACACACCATTCGCACACCTGCTGCCACTCACACCTTAGACGTGATCTTCGGCCCGGGTCAGAGGCAGCGAGCACAGCATGGACCCCGGAGCTGTGGGGAGCAGGGTGGCCCGGCTTGGGCCAGGTGTGGGGCGGAGCGGGCGAGCAGGGTCTGTGGCAAGCGGAGGGGTCCTGGAGCTCCGACCCCTGGGGCCGGCCAGGGCGCTGGTGCCCACGTGGGCATGAAGCCTGGCCGAGGCCTCCGAAGGCCTCCAGCTCTGCACTCTGAAGGGCCTGGCAGACTCTGTGACTGCTCAGGACCTTGTGGGGGCCACGGCAGGGCAGGGGTGCTGGCAGAGGGGCCAAGGGCGCCTGTAGGAGCAGGTGAGGGGGCCCTCGGGCCCAAGCGTCCAGATCCCAGGGCGCCAACCCCTGGGACTCCAGACCCTGGTTCCCTGTGCGGGAGCCCTGGCCCAGTTCACCCCGAGCGGCCCCACCCCAGGCCCAGGCCGGACCCTCTGAGACCCCCTTCAGCCTCCCCGGGCTCCGGAGGCCCACTCTGGCGCTGGCTTGGGGCCTTGTGGAGGGTCGCCTGGCCCCGGGGGAGAATTCCGGACACGCAGCCCCCACTGGCTTCCGTGCAGCCCGCGGCGCTCAGGCAGGAAAGGGAATTAAGAAGCAATATTTGTGCGGGTGGAAGACATTTGCCGAAAGGTTAAATCCACACCGGCTGTGGCCTGCACGTCGCGGATCTGTCCCCACCCCCACCCCCGCCTCAGCCCCCTGACCACAGGCCTGGGCCCCTTCGTCCTGGGGGGCGGCCGCCCCGCCGGGTGGGGTAGGAGCACAGGGGCGCTGAGGCATGCTCCAGGGAGCCGTGGCGTGCAGAGGCGGGGAGTGGCAAGGCCAGGCTGGGGAGGCAGAGGTGTGCGGTGCAGTGGTGGTTCCTGGGGGGCTCCAGTGCAGGGAGGTGGGCAGCGGTCACTCAGTGACCAGCCTGGGATGGACCTGTGGGGACGGGGGGCTCCTGCTGTGTGCAGTGTCACCTGAAACTTTGGGGTGCGGGGCTACAGGGTACAGGGTGGGGCTGTGGGGCTGCCACGTGGGGCTCACTCAGAGGGCAGGGCGCCCGGTACCCCCGGTCAGCCAGTCCTCTGCGTGGAGCTGTTGTCCTCCACGCTGGGCAGAGGGGGCCTCCTGGACACCTCGGGTCCTGCTGACACGCTTGGGAGCTGGGCGCAGTGGCCAGGGCCGGGGCCAGGCAAGGGGAACAGCCTGCAGGATCCTGCTGGGAAATGTGGCAACGTGAGAACCTTCTGGAAGAGCAGCCGCCTCCCCCGTCCGAGCGCTGAGGCTGAAGGGGCCTCCGCCCCGAAGGTGCAGGGTTTGTGTCCCTGCACCCGAGTGCCCAGAACAGCCCTCCCTGCGCCTGCCCGCCTCCCACCGGGGTGCGCGGCTGAGGGTCCCCGCATGCCCAGCCCGCAGGGCCAGATCAGGGATGATTCAGCGTCCCCGGCCGTGCCTGAGACGGTGGCTGCAATTAGATTTAATGGGACAGAGCCGCTGTCTCCGCTCTGCGCCCACCCACTCCCTCAGGCGGCGGCAGGCGGAGCGGGACGCGGGAGGTGGGAGGTGGGGGACCCAGGGGGGCTTTGACGTCAGCTCAGCCTATAAGAGGCGCTGGCAGAGGGCCGGAGCCGAGCCTGACCCGGCAGCGCCATGCCCACCCCCAGCGCAGCCTCGCCGCAGGCCAAGGGCTTCCGCCGGGCCGTCTCCGAGCTGGACGCCAAGCAGGCCGAGGCCATCATGGTAAGGGGGCAGGCCGCGCGGGGGGCAGGAGCCCGGGCGGGCCGCCCTTGCGGGTGCTTGAGCCCCCCATTGTGGCAGAATTGGAGAAAATCCTCCTGGGGGTCTTAGAGGCGTCCCGGCGAGCAGCCCCCGCGGTGGCCAGAGGGGCTGGTCCCCGCACAGAGTCTCCAGCCGCCCTGGTGGGCACACAGCAGCCCGGGGCCACCTGGGGCCAGGCCCCTTCCCGGCCCCGCCCGGGCCCAGCCACAGCTCAGGTGGAGGTGTGGGGCAAGCGGGGTGCGGACCCCGTTCTGCTGGGGTGCCCGGCTGGAGCGCCGGGGGCCCAGGCTCAGGGTGCCCCAGCCCATCCTCCGAGTGCCTCCGCCGTCCTGACGCCCGTCTGCACCCCACCACGCTCTCCACGCCCAGTGTCGCCGCCCGCCTGGGGCCGCACCTGCCCAGCAGCCTCCCCCCACCCCGACAGTTCCCAGCATCCTCTGCCTCTTAGGGCCCCCGAGTTCACGGGGACCGGTGACAGCAGCCCACGCGGCCCCTCCACGGGACTGCACACTGAGGGCTTTGCCACGGGGAGGGGGGCTGTATGGATCCTCGGGGAGCCAGGAGGGATGCCCCACTCCGCACACCGAAGCTGCCCGTCCACTCGATGAGGACAGGGCTGAAGGGACCAACCACCCGGCAGAGGCCCCCGGAAGGCATCCCGAGGCCCAGGACCCACTGACCCAGGCTCTCCCTGGCCTGGCGCAGCCAGGCTCTGCCCCACCCCAGGGTCGACTGGGGCTCCTGCAGCCCCAGGACCTCCTTGGAGGGTCTGCTCCAGGCCTGGAGCACCCGTCTGACCAGGGTAGGGGGTCCTGGGTGCTGTATTGGACATACTGGCCTGGGTCTCCCTGGGACAGACTGTGGCAGGCACCAGAGTCCCCAGGAGGGTGAGGGGTGGCTCTGTGCCCTGCGCCCCGAGAATCGGTCAGTCAGTGGATCTGGGCTGGGGTCTGGGACCAGGCCGGAGGCTTCCTCCAGGCGGCCAGACCCCACGTCCCCTGGCCCCTGGCCCTCTGGCTGCTGTCCACCCCCGGGCCAGAGGGACAGCAGCTGCAGCGCCTGTCACTGCTTCCTGTCACCTAATCCAGTTAGGGTCTGCGGGGACCAGAATCCCAGCCACCTCCCCGCCCCCTGCTGGCTGCCAGCAGCTTCTGGCCGCCCCCCTGCCACGGGTGGCGTGACCCCAAGTGTGCCCGGACCTGGTGGCCATCCCTCGGGGGCACAGTGGCCCCGAGGCAGCTGCGTCTGTCCCCACAGTCCCCGCGCTTCACCGGGCGGAGGCAGAGCCTCATCCAGGACGCGCGGAAGGAGCGGGAGAAGGCCGCGGCCGCAGCCGAGCCGGGGGAGCTGCTGGAGGCCGGGGTGGAGCAGCGGGACGGCCGGGCCCGGCTCAGCCTGCTCTTCACCCCGCGGGGCGCCCAGCCGGCCGCCCTGGCCCGCGTGGTGCAGGCCTTCGAGGTGAGGGGGCAGGGCGGCCCCGCCGGAGGGGCGCGGGGAGGGCCCCCGGTCACGAGGGGACAGGGGCCGGGAGCCCCCAGCTCCGCCTCCAGTCCGGTCCCCAGACACCCTCACACACGCCCGCAGCCCCCGGGCCCCGCCGCGCGGCAGCTGAGGATTAACTGCTCCGGCTGGCCGGGCACGGCGGGCGCTGGGCCAGCTCCGGGACACGCAGCGGCAGCTGGGCGGGCGAGACCCGGGCCCCGGTGCCGGGCTGTCGGTGGGGTCCCCAGGGCCCCGCCCCGTGTGAGGCCGCGGGTGGGGGGACGGTTGCTCAGGCGGCCTGGGTGTGGCCTCAGGACACGCGGTGGCATCTCCGCGGCCGGGTCAAGGGAGAGCCCCCCCGTGCCCAGAAGAACCCCAGAGCCACAAGCCCGGCCCACGTGTGGCCGGGACCCCAGGCTTCCCCCTGCTTCCTTGTCCCTCACCTCGTTCCCCCTCTGTCCCCCTCCGTCCACGTCTTGTCCCCCTCTGCCGGCCCCGCTTTCCTGCTTTTGCTCCCTAAGACCTTTGACACCAAGATCCACCACCTGGAGACGCGGCCGGCGCAGAGGCCGCGGGCGGGGGGCCCCCACCTGGAGTACTTTGTCCGGTGCGAGGTGCCCAGCAGGGACCTGCCCGCCCTGCTCAGCTCCGTGCGCCGCGCGGCGGAGGACGTGCGTGGCGCGGGGGAGCACAAGGGTGAGGCCGGCCCCGTCCCCCGTGCCACCCCGGGACCTCGAGACCTCGGGGGCAGGGGCTCCCACAGGGTCCCTGGAATGACGCCGGGACACTCTCCCCGCTGACTGGGCCCCCTCCCCCCCGCCCCACACGTGCCCCGCTGTGGCAGCCCCGGCCGACCCCCGGGGTGGGCGCCCCGGCGCGCGCTCATGCTGTTGTCCCCGCGCCCCTCTGTGAAGTCCTCTGGTTCCCGAGGAAGGTCTCCGAGCTGGACAAGTGCCAGCACCTGGTCACCAAGTTTGATCCTGACCTGGATCTGGACCACCCGGTGAGTCCCGCTGCCCGGGGGCTGGCGGTGCTGCGGGGTGCCCGGCTGGGGTGGGGGGCTGGGTCCCCGGCTCTGCGGGGTGGGGGGAGTGGGGCGGGGGGCGGGAGCCGGGATCCGGGGGTGGGCCGGGGAGGTGGGGCGGGCGGCCCCCACCAGCGTCCACTTGCCCGCAGGGCTACTCTGACCAGGCCTACCGCCAGCGCCGCAGGCTGATCGCGGAGATCGCCTTCCAGTACAAGCAGTGAGGAGGGGCCCAGACGTCCTGCCACCGAGCGGCTGGGGGGGGTCTTTGTCCCCACCACCACCTTGTGGCCAGCTGGGGCCCCGAGTCACGGCGAGGCGGCTGTGGCAGAGAGCGGTTGAACAGTTGGCCGAGGCCCCCGGGGCCTCACTGACCGCTGACCCCTCCGCAGTGGTGACCCCATTCCCCGCGTGGAGTACACGGCCGAGGAGATCGCCACCTGGTGAGAGACCGCTGGGGGCGGGCAGGAGGCCGGAGCCCCGCGCAGGGGCGCCCGCCGGAGGGACCCGAGGCCTGGCGCCGCAGGCTGGGGCCTGGGCTGGCTGGGAGCCCCTGGGAGGGTGGGGCAGAGCACGCTGGGGGCCGGGGCGCCCCTGAGACGCTCGCCCGCAGGAAGGAGGTCTACAGCACCCTGCGGGGCCTCTACGTCACCCACGCCTGCCGCGAGCACCTGCAGGCCTTCGAGCTCCTGGAGCGCTTCAGCGGCTACCGCGCCGACAGCATCCCGCAGCTGGAGGACGTGTCCCGCTTCCTGAAGGGTGCGCGCCGCGCGGCGGAGGCGGGAGGGGTGCGGGGCCCTGCCCGCCTTCGCGCCCCGACCGCCCCCCGCCTTGCAGAGCGGACCGGCTTCCAGCTGCGGCCCGTGGCAGGCCTGCTGTCCGCCCGGGACTTCCTGGCCAGCCTGGCCTTCCGCGTGTTCCAGTGCACGCAGTACATCCGCCATGCCTCCTCGCCCATGCACTCCCCCGAGCCGTGAGTCCGCGCAGGGCGTCCTGGGGCGCGGGAGGGTGCGGCCAGGCCCACACCCACCTCCCCTCCCGCCCCCAGGGACTGCTGCCATGAGCTTCTGGGCCACGTGCCCATGCTGGCCGACCGCACCTTTGCCCAGTTCTCCCAGGTGAGACCCCAGCCGTCCCCCAACCCGGCCACTGGCCAGGCCCTACCCCGCGGAGCCCCCAGGTGGATGGTGCCGGGATGGGCCTTGTGCATGTGCTGGGCCCACTTGGGAAGGCCACCTTATGAAAAGGAGGAGGAGGAATTCTCCAAGCCAGGGGGCCAGAGTGCGTTGGGGGGGCAGGGAGTGGAGTCACACCCCAGGCCTCTACTGGGCACATGAGGGAAAGCAGGACAGTCAGGGCCCTGACGATCCTGGGGCGGGGGCCTGCACCCCAGGAGGGCCCCTGCACACTGGGCCGCGCCCAGGGAACCCGGGGTGACCCCTCCTCACCCAGGGGTTGCCCTGCAATTTGCTGAGCAGAGCCCCTCAGCCGCCCCTCCTCCCGCAGGACATTGGCCTCGCGTCCCTGGGGGCGTCGGACGAGGAAATCGAGAAGCTGTCCACGGTGCGCTCCGTCCTGTGCAGGGCCCGGAGGGGTGGGGGGTGGGGCCTGGCTGCCCTGCTGCAGGACCCCCAGAGCCCAGCCGCGCGCCCCCACCGACCTGCGCCCCCACCTGCAGCTGTACTGGTTCACCGTGGAGTTCGGGCTGTGCAAGCAGAACGGCGAGGTGAAGGCCTACGGCGCGGGGCTGCTGTCCTCCTACGGGGAGCTCCTGGTGAGGCGCCCTGGCGGGCGGGCAGGCTGGCGGCCAGGGTGGGGGCGCAGGGCACGGCGCAGTGGGTACGGACGACCCACACTCCCTGCCCGCGCCCCCAGCACTCGCTGTCCTCGGAGCCCGAGGTACGGGCCTTCGACCCCGATGCCGCGGCCGTGCAGCCCTACCAGGACCAGACGTACCAGTCCGTGTACTTCGTGTCCGAGAGCTTCGGCGACGCCAAGGACAAGCTCAGGTTGGTGGGCGGCCTGCGCGGGGCCTGTGTCTGCAGGCACCTCAAGGCCCGGGGCTGCTGGCTGGTGGGCAGGTTGAGTGCCAGGCGGGGCAGCCTGCCGACCTCGAGGGGGGATGTCCACGCCTGGGGGTGCAGGGATCAGTGGCAGCCCTCCTGGGGGTGGCAGGGGCCGAGCAAGACAGCGCCTAGGGGCCTAGGCAGGCGCCTGTTGTCACAGAGAAAAGTAAGGGGCTGTGTGCCTGGTGTGGAGAGGTCGCCCCACGCGCTAGCTTAGGGACAGGGACGGGGCTGGGGCTCCCCAAGGCACAGTCTGGGAGGGCTTCCTGGAGGAGGAGGCCTGACCGAACTGGGCCTGGTGGAGCAGGGAGGGCTGGGCGACCTGCAGGGGCTGACTGGGGCCGGGGACTGGCCGCCCCGCGTTCTGTCCGGCGGCTGGACCGGGCTGCCGGGGCGCGGGAGGCTCAGAAAGGCCGGGGAGCCGGCCCCCCACTCTGCCCACACCCCTACCCACTGAGGGCGCCGCCCTCTCCCAGGAGCTACGCCTCTCGCATCCAGCGTCCCTTCGCCGTCAAGTTCGACCCATACACTCTGGCCATCGACGTGCTGGACAGCCCCCGGGCCATCCAGCGCTCCCTGGAGGGCGTCCAGGACGAGCTGCACGCCCTGGCCCACGCGCTGAGCGCCATCAGCTAGCCCCGCCCCCGCCGGCCCCGCCCCCTCTGGCCCCGCCCCGCCGGCCCCGCCCCCGGCCAGGCCCCGCCCCCGGCCAGGCCCCGCCCCCGGCCAGGCCCCGCCCCGCCGGCCCCGCCCCCAGCCCGGCCCCGGCCCCGCCCCCCGGCAGAGCCCCACCCGGCTTCTGAGCTCTGCCTGGGGAGCCGTGTCCTCGTGCGCTGCCCCGTCCACCCACCACCACCAGCTGCCCGCCGGTCGCCTCAATAAAAGCGAGTGCCCAGGCACCAGCCCCTGGTGTGTGTGCTGACTGGGGTGCAGGCTCACCGTGGAGGGGCTGCACCCTCCCACCGCCGCGCCGTCCTCTGCTGCAGCCTCCTGGCCTCTGGCCCGGGCACAGGAGCCCCCAGGCCAAGCTCCCTGCCCCCCGAAGCCGGCCTGAGCCGAGCCCTGCCGCTGGGCAGAGGAGACCCCGCCCGCGGGAGCGGGAGGACCGGCAGCCAGGCCCTGTGCCTGGGGACCCCAGCAGGGAGGGCGCGCTCCAGGGTGTGGCCTGGCAGGGCAGGTGCGGACCCCTGCGCCCGCCCCACTCAGAGCAGCCCCCGAAGTGCTTGCTGACCGGGAGGCCGCTGGCCCCTTCCCAGCTGACCAGGGCCTGGCCTCCGGAGCCCAGTGGGGGTGGATCTGGCCACTGGGGTCTGGCCGTGGCCCGGCACCAGGAGAGGCCTCTGTCCCCCTCCGGCCCTGGAGACAGCAGCCCGGGAGGTGGACACTGGTGGTCCTCCAGGCCATGCCCGGCTGTCGGTGCCCCCACGCCCGAGAGGCACTGACTTCGGCAGTGGGGCCGCGGGGCCTGCACACCCCTGTCGACCTCCAGGGCCTCCCACCTCCCTCGCTGTTCCCCCCACCCTGGGGCTGCCAGCCACCCGTCTCCCTCCCGCCCACTGGCCCCTGGACACTGCCTGCTGGTCCCCGCTCCCCCAGGCTCCTGCCCTGGATCCCTGTCTCAGGGGTCCCCACATCTCCCTGGTTGCAGCTGTGAGCTGAGGGCTCACCCCTCTGTGCCCAGGTCCTCCCTGCTGGGGGCGCAGGCAGGGAGTGTGGGTCGTCCATGGTGTCGGGGAGCCTGTCCTTGCCTCAAGAGGGCCACAGACCCCAGTGCTCAGCGACGGGACAGGGGCCGGGGACCCTGCCCTTCCTCTGGGTGCCGGTCCCGGAGCCTAGGGGAGGCCAATGGCGGGGCCAGGCTAAGAGGGCAGCCCCCGGCAGAGGGGTGGAGGTCAAGAGGGTAGCTGGCAGGGGCATCGGCCTCCCCAAATGTCCCTGGATCCCTGTGGTCCCCATGCGGGGGGCTCTGCCGCCCCCACTTGAAGCTGAGAGATGGGGTGGCGGACCCCTCTCTGCAGCCCCGGGGAGCTGGGGGGGTCTCAGCCGGCCGCTGTGTGGGGGTTGGGGCCAGGAGCACCCCTCAGGCCTCGGCCCATCTGAGGGGTTCCCCAGGACAGATCAGCTCCTCCCGCCAGTTCCCCTGGACTCATGTGGAAATGGAGGCCAGGTGGGGCAGGTGCTCTGCCCCCCGCTGCGAGCTGGCCACCCTGGGGCCGCGGCACCCGCGGTGCTGACGCCAAGGAGGTGATCCTGCCGACCCAGCACCGGGGAAATGGCCCAGAAACTGCAGCCTCAGCCCCCCGCCATCTGCCACCCAGGGGCCCCGGCGGCCCGGCGCGGGGCAGGGGCTATAAAGGCGGTGGGGCCCGCTGCTCCCCGTCCTCCTGCCCAAGCTCCCAGGTGTCGCCAGCAGGTCTGTGGGGCCCCAGGCGTGCAGGGGTGCGGCTGGCCAGGAGGGTGGCGGGAGTGGGGTTCCCCCAGTGAGCCCTGGGTGAGGGTCTGGGCGCACCCCCTCCGGGCTCACCCCTTTGTGCCCAGGTCCTCCCTCCGCCATGGCCCTGTGGACGCGCCTCCTGCCCCTGCTGGCACTACTGGCCGTGTGGGGGCCGCGCCCGGCGCCCGCCTTCGTCAACCAGCACCTGTGCGGCTCCCACCTGGTGGAGGCGCTCTACCTGGTGTGCGGGGAGCGCGGCTTCTTCTACACGCCCAAGGCCCGGCGCGAGCTGGGGGACCCACAGGGTGAGCCGCCCCGGCCGGCCGGCCGCTGGCCTGCCCGCCCCGCCTTCCCCGCGGCCCTGCGACCCCGCGGCCCCGCTGAACTTGCTGCCCCGAAACTCATTCTGCTCAGACAACACCCCCCTCCGAGGACAGGGGCGTGTGGGGGGACTTCAGGGCCAGGATTAGCACTGGGCACTGTGTTGGGGTGATGGGCAGCCCCGGCCTCCCGTCCCCCAGGCCTCGGGGAGCTGTCCCGGGCAGCCTGGGTGCGGGAGAGCACCCCGCCCCAGGGAGTGGCGGCTGTGGGTGGGGTCAGGCGGGGAGACCCCTGGCTGGGCCCTGGGACCACCCGGGAAGCCCCGTGGGGCCCCGCTGGGGGCTGGGGCGCGGGGGCCGGGGCGGGAGCCCAGCTCAGCGGGGCGTCCCCTGACCGCCGGCTCCTCTCTCCCTCCCGCTGCTCCAGACTGGCCGCTGGCCGCGGTGGACGAGGCGGCGCTGGGTGGGGGCGCCGGCGCGGGGGCCTGGCGGGGGCCCCGCAGAAGCGCGGCATCGTGGAACAGTGCTGCACCAGCATCTGCTCCCTCTACCAGCTGGAGAGCTACTGCAACTAGCCCCCGCCCCCCAATAAACCTCGCGAGAGCCTGCGCCAGCGTCTGTGTGTGGGGGGCGGGCGCGGGTGGGGGCGCCGGCGGCCTGGGGTCCTGCCCCGAGCCCTGTCCTCTGCACAGGCGCAGGGACCAGCTTCCCACTGGGCGCCGGGACACGTGGCCCCCGGGCCTGCTGCCGCCCCTGCCGTGGCCCCGTCCTGCGGCCGCGGCTGCGCTGGGCGCACGGGGCTGCGGGGGCTCCACGAGGCCGGAGCAGACGCTCCTGGACCGACACCCCGACAGCTTTTCCAGGAGGAGCAGCATGGGCGGGGTGGGGGGGCCGTCCCTGGGGCTCCGGCTGCCCCCGGCGTGGGCTAGCGGGGAGGCCTGCAGGGGTGAGGAGGGGAGAGGCCCAGGGGTTGTCCTGGCCCAGCCGCAGCCCCTGCCCAGCCGCAGCCAGGGGCGCCCTCTTGCCCAGGAAGGGTTGGGAGAGGCCAGCGGGCACCCCAAGAGTCGGGCCCGGCTCAGACCACTCAGTGCTCAGGGGACTCTGGCTGTGTCCCCCAAGAATGGCAGCCGACAGGGCCACGCACAGGCTGCCCCCAGCCCTCCCTCTTAGCACAAGCCCCACGGCGAGGCCTGAGGACAAGGTCGCCCAGGGGCCAGGTCCGCAGGGGCCGGGCCTGAGGCCTCCTCAGCGCTCAGAGCGGCCCAGGGTGAAGCCGTCGGGCCCTGCCCACGCACTGCCCGCGGGCCAGGGGGTCCAGGTGGCCAGGCCGGGCACCTGAAGGGCCAGCGGGCGCCCTGGGCTCACCAGGTCCGGCCAGCCCGCCGGCCTCCGGGTGCAAACCAACCTGCCCCTTCACAGGAGCTCGCCAGGTGTGGGGGGCACTGGGACGGGGGACCCCACCCACCAGGGCACCCGCCCATGAACGCGGCCACACCCCAGGGAGTCACGGCCCAGACCAGCGCCGCCCCCGGAGCAGGGGCCAGGGCCAGGCCCAGGGCAGGGCAGGGCAGACCGGGCTGGAGGAGGGCGGAGGCGAGTCCTGCGGGGGGCACCGGCGGCCCCTCGGGCTCGGGCAGAGGCGAGGGCGCTCCGCGGAAGCCAAGGTACGCGGGGCCTGCCGGCCGGGCGCGGGCCAGCGCTGCCCTCGAGACCAGACCAGGGCGACCTGGGCGGCCCCTGCGCTCGGGCACCCACAGCTCCGAGCGGCGGAAGCAGAGCCCCTGGGGCCTGGGCCCCCGCGTGGTGGGTGCTGGAGGTGCTGGGGGTGCCTCCCGGGTGCCCTGAGCGGGGTCACGCCCATGGACCCGGAGGTCCGGCCCCCAGATCTGGTCACAGTGGGGTCGCCCTGGGTGCGCCCCCCAGCCCCCCAGCCTCCCCGGCCCTCGGCAGGACTGGTCCCGGCAGGACGGGAGCGGGGGCCCTCCCGGCCATGGGTGAGGTCGTGGGGCCCAAGGTCAGGGGGTGGCAGAGGCAGCTGTCTCCGGCCTGGCGCCCCCACCCCACCGAAACCTCAGCACCCCCGGCGCCGGGTCACCCCTGGGGCGGGCTCTGGCACTCGGCCCTGCCCGGACCTGCCCCTTCTGGGAATCCAAGGCCGGTGCATCCGGGGCCTCGCCTGCTGCCCTTGGACCTGGGCTTCCTCGGCCCTGGGCTGGCCATGGCAGGCACGGCGGGGGTGCGGCCACCCCAGGGGGGGCCCAGTGGCCCCAAAGCGGGAGGCAGAGGCTCCAAGGGTCCCAGCCCCCCCCGTGTCCCCAGCCCCTGGCCGGAGGGCCGGTCCCCCGGTGAGGCTGCCGAGGCACCCGCACTCCGCAGCTCAGTCCTGCTCACGAGTGGAGGGTGGGGACATGGCGCCTGCTCCTGGGGGGCCAGGCCAGACCGGGGTCCGCCTTCTGGGCCCACCCCAGGCTCTGCTGGGCAGCTGCCTCCAGGACACTGGTCTGCCTCCGCTCCCGGCAGGGCGAGCTGGCACCTGGCGGTGTTTGCCTTCTCTGCTGGCAGCGAATATTTGCCTTCCTCACTGTCCTCCAGGCCTGAGGGGCACGGGGCGGGTGGGGGGTGGGTGGGCGCAGGGAGGGGGCATCGGCCCCTGCCCTCGAGGGCCAGGGGTCTGGCAGGGAGCAGAGTGAACCCGGAACCTGTGTCCCCTGAACAAAGGGCTCTTGGCAGAGCCTGGGGGTCCCCAGCCAGAGTGAGTCCGGTGAGGCTGCGAGGGGCCAGCTGTGTCCCCGCCTGGGGAGCCGGCCCCACCGGCCTGTTGCCCTCCGGACGCCGGCCCAGGCAGCAGGGCTGCGGCATTCCACAGATGGCCAGCAGAGGGGGCCAAAGCCCCACTTTTGGGCTGCAGCGGCCCCTCAGCTCAGGCCTCTATGTGGGTCGGAGACTAAGACTTGTCACCTCTCACCAGGGACCCCACAGGGCTGTCCACCCTGCATCCTGCAGCCGTGGGGTCTACGCGGGACCCGGGTGAAGCCCCGGAGGCTTCGGGGGGGGGCAGCTGGACAATGCCTAGGAGGCCCCCTCCTTGTGGGACAATCTCCAGGGAGAGTCTGATTCTTGCCTTCAGGATCCCAGAGGTCTGGGGGGGTCCTTGCAGTGACTTCCCACCTCTCCCCCACAAAGCAGAGCAAACCAGGAGCAGAGGCGGAAGGCAGGCACCCCGGGGAATTGGAGGCAGGGGTGACGCTGTCACTGCCAGGCCAGGCGGCCTCAGGGCCAGAAGGTGGAGGCCGGCGCGCTCTCTCGCCCCGTGGCCCGCTGGCCTGTGCTGGCGCCCCACACCGCCCCCAGCCCTTGGCTCACCTCCTGCTCCCACTCGGCCCCCAGCCCTCCCAGACTCCCCACCGGGTGCCATCCGCTGCAAGTCTGAACGCAGACCCTCGGGGGGGTCTCCTGGGCCCCAGGGCAGGGTCTCTGCTGGGCTTGGGGGCTCACCCCCCAATTCCTATCCTCCAAGGTGCTGGGCTGAGGTGTGGCGGCACCTCAGGCCACCTCTGGGGATGTTGGACATGGGTCACTAGGGCTGGGTGGAGCTGGGTGCCACCTCCCCAGCTCTGTGCCCCCGGATGCTCAGAGGGACGAGGTCAGGCATAGCCCTGGGGCCACGGGCCAGGGTGTCAGGGGCTGAACCCTAGCACCGGGACCACACAGCATGGGCCTTCCGTCTGGAAACCCATCTGCCCCAGCCTGGGGGTCGGCTGCGTGCCCCACCGGGGACCAGACCGCTGAGCTGTCAGAAGTGGGGGCCAGGGACACATCCCCCCAGGCCTCACTTGACCTCCTCCCAGCCCATCTGTGCTTTCGGAAAGCAGAGCCCGGCGGCCCGCCTGTGTCCCTCACCCGCGCCCCTGCTCCTTGTTTTCCAAGCCCAGCCTCTCAGAAACGTACCCTCTGACCAGGCAGGCCCCCCGCACCAGCCGGCCCCTCCTACAGCCACCACCCGCTGCCGGGGGCTCATTTTCTGGCTCCTGCTTTTCTGTGTCTGAATTTCCAGGCTCAGGGCAGTTTCCTCAAGTGGCTCAGCAGGGCAGGGTGGGAGACTGAGACAGGAAACTGAGGCGTGCACCTGCCTCTCTGACCTCCCTGGTCTTCCCTGGTCCTCCCTGGGCCTTGCTGGTCCTCCCTGCACCTAGCTGGTCCTCTGTGACCTCCCTCAGTCTCCTTGTCCCTCCCAGAGAATGGACTTGTCCTGGCTGCCCGCTGGGGCTGCTCCCTGCACCTGCACCTCCTGGGAGAAAGGCGCGCAGAGAGAGGCCAGGCCGGAGGGGAGGAGAGCTGCGGAGCCACAGACGGGGGAGGAGGCTGGGGCTGCCACCCCAGCACCCGCTGTGGTCAGAACTCAGAACAGAGGTACCTGAGAACACACTGGCGCCAGCTTCCTCTCAGCTCCGCCGGGCTGCGTGGGGGCGGCCTGCGGGGGCCCAGGGCCAGGGCTGGGGTCTGCAGCGTGAGTTCAGTGCCTTTGGCTGATGGCGCCCGATCTGGGCCTTTGGGCCTCAGGCCACACCACGGGTTGGTTCTCTGGTGTCCGGGGAAGGAGGGAGCTGACTGTCTTCCTGGGAAAGGACTCCACGGCTCCTGATGGGATGCAGGGGAGCCCTGCAGGACAGTTCCCCAAGGATGGCCCGGGGGCTCCTTGTCCTATCACGGTTGGAGAATGAGGTTCCAGAGAGCAGGGCTGGGCAGGGGAACTTGGCGTCAGGTGCAACGCAGGGCTTCAGGGCTTCGGCCCCTCCTGGGGGAGGCAGAGTCCATCGCAGGCCCCCTCTGCCCAAATCCAGAGCCCTCTGGGGTTTTGCTGCAGGTTTTGCCTTTACCTTTTACCTGCGAGGATGGAGGGGCCCCTCCAGGCAGACGTCCTGGTTCCGACCCCGATGCTGCTGAGATGCCAGCCATCTAGGCCCCAGAATGAAGTTCCCAGAGCCAGTGTCAGGGCAGCGAGAGAACATCTCTCCACGTGAGGAGAGCACCGTCGTGAGCTACCTGTCCCATGCCAGACACCTGTCCATGCTCCAGCACCTGGGTGGTCAGAGGGAGGGGCCCGCCGAGGGCAGAGCTGGCACGTGGACAGGACCAGTCTCCAGGACCCTCCTGCTCATGTCTCTTCCATCTTCACCCCACCAGGCCTGGGCTCCCCAGGCCCTCAGGCTGTTGCCCGGCCACATTTGAGGTCTCCTTCTGCCCACCTACCAGAGTATCTGCCTATATATATGGTACCAGATGGTGTGGGGTTCCGGGGCATCTGGTGCATTCGGGAGGGAGTTCGGAGCTGCTTCTTCCTCTTTTCTCCATATACAAGGTACGGAAGAGTGGTCCTTTGCCATCTTTTTATTTATGGCTGATAGTTGCAGGGTTGGTAGGGGTGGCACAAGCTCTTCCGGGGTCTCCTAGAGGCAGACTTGGTTGATAGGAAAGCCAGTCACCTTCTGAAAAGCTGCGGCTGCCACTCATCCAGTGGCCACAGGGTGTCAGGCTCAGGCCAGATTTGGGAAGCCCTGGGGTTTGGGGGATGTTG